AATAAATAAATAATTTTAAAAAAAGAAATACTATTTGGCCTTGATAAGGCATGAAGTATCAATACATGCTATAAAGTGGATCAACCAGGAGAACATTAAGTGAAAAGATGTCTTTATTATATCTTTATGAAGTATCTTTTTTTAAAAAAATATTTACTTGAGAGGTAGAGTTACAGAAAGAGGGACAGACCGAGAGAGAAGCCTTCCATCTGCTGGTTCACTCCCCCAACATGGCCACAACAGCTTGAGCTGGACCCATCCAAAGGCAGGAGCCAAGAGCTTCTTCTGAGTCTCTCAAGTGGCTGCAGGGGCCCAAGCATTTGGGCCATCTTCCACTGCCTTCCTCGGCACACTAGCAGGGAACTGGATCAGAACTGGAGCAGGCAGGACTGGTGCCCATATATGATGCCAGCGCCACAAACAGAAGCTTAACCTACTAGGCCACAGCACTAGCCCCTTCATGAAGTATCTAAAAATGCTTTTCATGTAAAGTCAAGCATAATCAAATCTGGTGACAGAATGATATGACTTAAATATAGTTTGTCTTTCCAAACTCATGTAGGAGCTTATTTCCCAAAGTCTTAGGTTAACAGGAAAACAGGGTGGAAACATCTCAACTATGGTGTTAAGGGCAGAACACCCATGAATGAATCTTGACAGCTTTACAAGAAAGGGTAGAGAGACATACAAACACAGACATACACACTTCCTGTCTCTTTGCATGTGATGCTCTGTGCCACCTTGAGACTACAAACAAGGTCAACTACCATGAAGTAACTTGGGCCTGGAGCATCTTCTAGTGGCGAAAAGTAATGACATATTCCCCAAAGAGATGGAGCCAATGTTGTAGCACAGTGGGTTAAAACACCATGTGCAATGCCACCATTGCATATTGAAGTGAAAGTTCAAGTGCTATGCTTCCAGATGCAGCTCCCTGCAAATGTGCCCAGTAAAGAAGCAGATATTGGCACAAGAACTTGGGCCACTGCCACTCACATAGGAGACCCAGATGGAGTTTCAGTCTCATAGCTTCAGACTGGCCCAGTCCTGGCTGTTGCAGCCATTTAGGGGATGAACCAGCAGATGAGAGATTCATATTCTTTCTATCCTTATTGTTCAAACAAATAAATCTTTTTTTTAAAAAAAAAAAAGGAGGAGGGGATAATATAAAAGGGATACAGGAACTAACCTTTAAAAGCTCCCAATAGGTAAAGAGAAAGAATTTGAACAAAACAAATAATGTAATATTAGGGGGTATGTTTAGCCTAGTTCATTAAGAAACCAGTAAAGATGCCAGTGTCCCATACCAGAGTACCTAGGTTCAATATCCAGCTTTTTTCCTAACTCCAACTTCCTTCTAATGCAGACCCTGAGAGGCAGCAGGTATGACTGAAGTAGCTGGGTTCTTACCACCTCTGTGGGAGACTTAAATGGAGTTCCCAGCTCCAGGTAATGGCCCAGCCTAACCCCAGCAGTTAGTAATTTGGGGAGTGAACCAGTGGGGAACTCTCTCCTTTCCCTGTCTCTGAAATAAATTTTTAAAAGTTTAAAAATAGTAGCATTAATTATATTCCAATGTATACACTAAAAACAGATGAGTACATACTGATATAAATCAATGACTGACTAATATAATTCGGCAAGAAATGATAAATCTTTCCTAATGAAAAAATCCAAATTTTATGTGTAGATAAAATGTCTACTGTACACTATGATAGATCTACTATTGGAGACTGAGCTTAATTTAGGCCCTCCTCCCATTCAGGTGGGCTAGATTTAGTGACTGCAATAGGCACAGATAAAAAACATCATTCTACAGTTGAGAAACCTGATAAACATTTCATTAACCAAATGATGAAATTCAAAATCACCAGTATTATCATGTGGATTTCATGTACTCCCTGATATGATAAAAAGGGTTCTTTACTTCAGATGTATTCTTTCAAGAACCTATTAACCTCAGTCAAGTCACAAGAAACAGAAGACTGAGATTAGTGAATAATCTACTGGGTACATAAACAGTATGCCTTAAGAGTGAGGAGATAATGAAGAATACAGACAGAAATTTGCCATAGACAAGAAGACACTAAAGAGACAAAGCAACTAAATGTATTCTGCTACCTTGGATGGGAAAACCTAGTGATTAAAAATCAAGAAAAATAGAGGTAAGCAGCGTGGCACAGCATGTTAAGCCAGCAACTCTGATAGCATCACATATAGGTGCCAGTTTGTGTCCCAGCTGCTCCACTTCCAATCCAGTGCCCTGCTAATTTGCCAGGTACTTGAGCCCCTGCCACACACATGGGGACTAAGATAGAGTTTCTGCCTCCTGGCTTCAGCCTGGCCCAGCCCCAGCTGTTGAAGCCATTTGGGGAATGAATCAGCTATTTCTGTGAGTGCAAGTGTATTGGCCATTTGTGAGGACATGAAACACAGAAAGCAGCAAAATATGCCTTCACATGAACAAGCAAGGCCACTGGACAGCTGCAGATGGGAACAATTTTATATAAAAGTCAACCCAAACTTTTTCTGTTTTAACAATGGCATTATTTTGACACCTGTTCTCAAAACTAAAATTTTCAAATTGTTCTTCTGACATTTAGGAAATTCTGTGCTGTGGGTTTGGGGGGGGGGGGGGGAGAGCCTAATCAGTTAGAAAAAGAAATAGCTGAAGCTGTGCTTAATTTCTCTGAACAAATCAATCCCTCACTGAAGCCTAGTTAAGGTGGATGAGAAATATCTGTCGCTTCACCCTATCCTCCAGGGCTAAGGGGATGGTGGAGGTGTAAAAGTGGTGAAATACATAAAAAGAGTTTCAATATAAGCCCTTGTTGGAAATACCAGAATGTAGGACACATGTTACAGGATTTTCAATATAAGATATATCATATCACAGGTATTTCAGAAATGGTGCTAGATGAATTGGAATGGAAACAAGGGCCATGATTTAGAGGAAAACCAGTACTTGCTAAACACTGTTCAAAAAACTACATAAAACCAACTCAGGCCTAGAATACAGATGGTCAGGGCCAGGGATATAGACAGAATGCCTGAAGTTCCTAACACAAAAGTAAGAAATTGGGGCCAGCATCATGGTGAAGCAGGTTAAGTTGCTGCCTGTGCACCATATATGAGTGTTGGATGAGCCCTGTGATGCTCCACTTTTGATCCCCTCCATTCTAACATTCCCAGGAAAGCAGAAGATGGCCTATGTCCTTGGGACCCTACCACCCACAAGGGAGACCTGGATGGGATTCCAGGCTTCTGGCTGCAGCCTAGCCCAGCCCTAGCTGTGTGGCCATTTAGGAAATGAACCAGTGGATGGAAAGTATCTCTCTATGTCTCCCTTTCTCTCTCTAACTCTGCTTTTCAAGTTAATAAATGAATGTTTATTTTTTAAAAAAAGGGAAGAAATCTTTGTTTAATAAATGACAAATCTTTCTGTCTCTCCCTGTCAATCTGCCTTTTAAATAAATAAATAATCTTTTTGCTTTAAAAAAAAACTGGTAAAATTCAAATGAAGTTTAGATTCTAGTTAATACTGTGCCAACTAAATTTTCACAAGTCTACCATGGCAATATAAGATGTTAACAGCAGGGGAGCTAGGTACAGGGCATATGGGAATTTTCTGCTATCATTTCTAAAATTCTGTAAACAGAAAATTATTCCAAATTAAAGTCTTTTAAATGTCACTAAATAATAAACATGGTAATGAGAAATGTTACCCTTTAACTTCTTTTTTCTTTACTTCCTCATGAACAAATAAGAACATTAAGTTTTTTAAACGTTAAATTGCTTTAAATTATTCCAAAGAAATCATGTAAAAAATCTGCTGCAATGATAATATTCATTATTTATAGTTCTCCAAAAGTAAACCAACAGATTTATAGACACCCACTTTAATCATGGCAAAAAGACACTTACTGGGTCTTAGTTTACCAACGGCAACATTGCTTAGATATGTATTAATACTGTCATTATCATGACACAAAGCCAAAGAATTTAAAAACATTAACAAAGACAGTTACCCAGAGGGTAATGCCTCAACAGTATTTTAAAGAAGTAAGATGTAAGGTAACATTAGAAGAGGGAAAATATTATACATATAAATTTACAATCAGTTTTGAAAAATTCATTTCAGATTTTACAGATAATACAATTTGTTGTTTTTCAGTCGGTCAATAAGAAACGAATATTTAGCTCTCACACCAATTACTGTCATAAAAGGATGAATAGTACTGCAAACCTTAACCCTCTGTGGTGACTGTCCTTTAAAATACAGGAGATGGGCAAGCACCAATTCTACTGATACAAGCTTGGATGGAGACTTAAAAAACTGTTTTCACAAGGCCAGCGCTATGGTGTAGTAAGTAAAGATGCTGCCTTAAATGCTAGCATCCCATATGGGTGCTAGTTCCTGTCCTGGCTGTTCCAATCCAGCTCTCTGCTATGGCCTGGGAAATCAGTAGAAGATAGCCTAAGTCCTTGGCCTGCTGCACCCACATGGGAGACCCTGAAGAATCTCCAGGCTCCTGGCTTCAGATAGGGCCAGCTCTGGCAGTTGCAGCCATGTGGGGAGGAAACAGCAGATGGAAAACCTCTCTCTCTCTCTCTCTCTCTCCCCCTCTCTCTCTGCCTCCGCCTGTCTGTACCTCTGTCTTTCAAATAAATCTTAAAGAGAACAGTTTCACAGTACGAAGAAAGTTATTATCATCCAATATTAAGAGTTGGAAAAACTGGAAATTGTGACATAAGCACCTGTAATATTTTTCAATTTTACAAGGTCTCTGTTGAAAACTATAAACAAATCCAAACTCAGCAAATTCTGAATAGCTATCAATAGTCATTTTATAGCACTGAAGAGATACAAAGAATCCAAAGGAAGGCAAAAGCTGAAACAAAAAATACCTATTTCGGAGTTGCTCTTCTAGTATTTGTTTAAAAAATATATAAACATGTTTTTTCCAACTTCTTTATGTCAGTCCCTGTTGTTATCTTACCTGGATCAACCAAAGCTTTGTTAAATATTTCTTTAAGTTTCCGACTCTTCACATTCCTTCCTTGAGCAAGATTTCTATACATCTCATAACCTATAATCATAACACCACCATCTTCTTGCCACCTCTGCAGCATGTAGCTTCTCTCCTGAGGACGTTTCACAGTTGCTAATTCAGAGACCTTTTGTAAGAAAAAAAGGATTTTTAAAAGCAGCTATTAAAATATATGAATACCAAATATGAAATACGTACTAGAAGTATTTAAAATATTTTACTCTATGAGAAAACATTGAAAATATGATACCTCGAGCTTTTCTTCATCTTTTAATCCTTCTTGCCATTTCTCAAATTCATTCATCCAATTCAAAGCAGTATTAAGAGGACAAACCACTAAAGCTGTGCTGAAATCCAATTTGTCACACAAAAGAACTGTATGAAGAAAACTTACCACCTACAAGAAAATAAGTAAGTTTGCCATCTTCATGTAAATGACTCCTAAGCTTTAATATATCAGTTATACAATATAGTGACTTTGTTCTGCTTTAAATAATAAAGCAACCAATCAAAATGTCATTATTTTCAAACCAGGCAAAGTACAGGTAAAGAGATATAAAAATAAAATGAGAACACTTGTCTACAAGATGTGTAGGGGCCTTAAAACTCTAAAGCTCCATGATTCCACAATCAATATGAATATAAGACACTGTCCCACCAAAATTTTAGACTATTAAAATTATTATACTTCTAAAGGGCGAAGTTGTGAAATTAGGGAATAAGCTTGTATTTTAAGCCATAAAGTAATTACTACAGATTTGTAAGTCAGAATGCATGAAAATGGAACGTACTATGTAAAACAATTCTCTTCTAAATGGCCATGGTATTTTCTGAAAGGCTCTAGGACACTCTATGGAGACCAGTGACTTTGTTCTTGTGTGACAATAACTTATATTCACATTGATCACAGAATCATGGTTTGTAGGATCAAATTGTTTTTAAGTTGTACAAGAATTCTCACTTCAGAGGCTTTGAAGTTCTTGGCCACACCTGTAATTCGTCTGCCTTAATTCATTAAGATTTCAGCTTAAACATCACCTCCTAAAAGATGCCATCCCTAATTCCTTATTAACATTATTTAAAAGTACATATTTATCATTTTATTTCATTAGCCTTGTCTCTCACACCACAGAATATAAACTCCTTGAGAGATCTTTTTATTTTTGTTCATTTCTATAGCTCCATTTCCTAAAACTGGGAATGGAACATAACAGAATCCCACATATATTAATGTATGCATAAAACAAGGTACCCTTCATATTATTTAATTCTTACCTGTAAAGTCTTACCAAGGCCCATGCAGTGGGCAAGAATGCATCCTGACCCTGGAGATTTCTTTGTCTTTTTCACAGACTCACAACAGCAATCCCACATAAATTGAACACCTAAAAATGACAACCTTATTAAATTAAATTTAAGTCTAAGTTAAAAACATTCCTTTATAAACACATCAAAACATAACCAAAACTTCTAAGAAACAGAATTTAGAAAACGCTAGAAGATAGTTTCTTAAATGTAACTGGTGCCCCCTCCCTAGAAACTGAGAAACAAGAGAGTGAATATAAGCACTTAACATTGTTGATGACTTTCCCTGAGACTGTGCAAAAAGATATAAGAAATCTAAAACAGAAACTTTACCCAAAGAGAATAGCTTCCTAATATATTTGCCACATTACTGAGTCAATCAGCAAAAACAGCCTAAGAAACAATTCATTATTTTTTCTTTTATTCAACAGTAAACACTGAGTAAGAAAGAGATGGCCAATTAATAAATTAATTCACATACACTCTCAAAACTAACTTAATGATTCCACTCTAACAAAGTAGATGGTAGGAAAACTTTGGATTCTAATGCCATTGTAGGATACCATAAACAAAATAATAATACCTGAGGAGCTGGCGCTGTGGTGTAGGATAAGCCTCTACCTGCAGCGCCAGCATCCAATATGGGCACCAGGTCAAGTTCCAGCTGTTCTCCTTCCGATCCAGCTCCCTGCTAATGCCCTGAGAAAGCAGTGGAAGATGGTACAAGTCCTTGGGCCCCTATATCCACATGGGAGACCCAGAAGAAGCTCCTGGCTCCAAGCTTCAGCCTAGCTCAGCCCCAGCTTTAGTGGCCATTTGGGGAGTGATCCAGCAAATAGACGATCGATCAATCAATCGATCAATCAATTTCTCTCTCTCTGCCTTTCCTTCTCTCTGTGTGTAACTCTTTCAAATAAATAAATAAATCTTTTAAAAAAAGAAAATACTGAAATAACATTTCCTGAAGAAGGTTCTGGTTAACTTTACACCTCTTCCAACCTCCCTGCTGCCCTTAATCAACTATTGTAGACAAGGAGAAATCTACTTGCTATATACACCTATCAGTAAATAGCACTTTCTTCTCTATTTGTAACATCCATTGCATTTTTTTTGACAGGCAGAGTGGACAGTGAGAGAGAGAGAGAGAGACAGAGAGAAAGGTCTTCCTCTGCCGTTGGTTCACCCTCCAATGGCCGCCGCGGCCGGCGCGCTGCGGCTGGCGCACCATGCTGATCCGATGGCAGGAGCCAGGTACTTATCCTGGTCTCCCATGGGGTGCAGGGCCCAAGCACTTGGGCCATCCTCCACTGCACTCCCTGGCCACAGCAGAGAGCTGGCCTGGAAGAGGGGCAACTGGGACAGAATCCGGCGCCCCGACCGGGACTAGAACCTGGTGTGCCGGCGCCACAAGGCGGAGGATTAGCCTAGTGAGCCGCAGCGCCAGCCTCCATTGCATTTCTAATAACCCAATTTTGTTCTTCCTTATTTGTTTTTGAGCTGTATATTTTCTTTTTGCTCACCAATGTATCACTAGTGCTTAGCAGAATCTGAGGCACACAGGAAGATACACAAATGCTAGTTAAAGTCTGCCTACACATGATTGAATCATCTGCTAGTTTCTTACCATCTACTTGATGGGGTTTCAATTTGATAACCATATTTCTATGAACCTGTACTAAAGGTTCCTTGGTTTCTTCATCTTCATCTAAAACCAACTTGGTTGTTATTGGACACTTGGTAGGTGAAGCATCTTCAATTTCTATCACCTACAAGAAAGGAAGTTGTTGATGGTTAAGCTCATAAAAATCTTTCAAGCAATGTTGTAACACCAGTCTTACCAAGGGAAATTTCCATATGTCTCCTCCCATACCAAACATCCAGTATTTTGGTTCAGTAATGTCAAGACAAAAAGAAAAAAGGGAAAAAAAAAAACCTCCACAGGACTGATAATCAATATAATAATAACAATAATCCAGTTCAATGATTTAACTCCGTATATTTAAATCCACATTGGGTAGAACTGTGAAAAAAGAAGCATTCCAAACTAATCTAAGGTGAATAATTAGAATTAGAACAGACAAATGATTCCCAATCAAGGCAGTTCTATTCTTCGAGAGGACATTCAAAAATGTGTTGAGGACACTTAGACTGTTATAAACATCGGTCAGGGCAGATATTTAATGTAGTAGGGGAAGGCAAACAAAACTGTTCTAAAGTGTGAAAGTTTCAAACAAAATGTCAACATGATTCTCACTGAAAAGCACAGGGGCCAGGACTGTGGCACAAAGGGTTAACACCCTGGCCTGAGGCACCAGAATCCCATATGGGTGCCAGTTCCAGACCTGGCTGCTCCACTTCAAATCTAGCTCTCTGCTATGGCCTGGGAAATCAGTAAGAACATCGCCCAAGTCTTTGGGCCCCTGCACCCGCATGGGAGACCAGGAGGAAGCTCCTGGCTCTTGGCTCCTGGCTCCTGGTTTCAGATCAGTGCAGCTCTGGCCATTGTGTCCAAGTGGAGAGTGAGCCATCGGATAAAGGACCTCTACCCCTTCACTCCCCTCCCCTTCTCTCCCCCACCCCGCCCCGCTACTCCTCTCTGTGTAACTCTTTCAAATAAATTTTTTTTTTTAAAAAAGAAAAGCACTGTTAAATATATGTTGTAAAAGAGAAGAAATGTTTTCAAACACTAGTGTCACAACAACAGGCTCACAAGCGAGATAAGAATACAAAATTCAATCTAATTTCCAAAAGGAAACAATTATCTCAAGTTCCTTATTTAAAAATAAACAATCACATACACACACATACTAACATATATTTTTGATATGTCATCCTAGTATCTATCAATTATAAGATATATTCAATAACTTTATAAAGTGGGTACAATTATTCTCTATCCTACAAATTAAAAAAATAAATTCCAAAGGATTAAACAAGCATTTTAAATAACTTGTACAAGGTCAAACAATTTTTAACAACTACAATGCTGAGACTTATACCAAGAGAACTGGCCTCCATGCACCATGCTCTTAACTACCAGAAAATACTACTTTAACAAAGAAAATGTGAATATAAAGTTTTATGGTTCCATGAAAAAATAAGGATTTACAATATTTAAATTATAAGCACATTTCATTTCATATTTATAACTGTTACTAGGAACAAATAGGTTTGTTAATTTTCAATACAGAAATTGTCAAACACAAAAGCAGACAGAATAGAAAAACAAACCCAATTACCCATCATCACTTAGTTTTAAAAATTATCAATAAATAGCCAATTTTGTTTCACTGGTAACTTTCCCATATACTGCTCACCAGTTCAGATCACAAATTTAAAACCATAACTACAATGCCATTATCATAACTAAAATCAGCAAAAATAAGATACTTTTAATGAATTATCTAAATAAATGCATTTACATAAAATTTTAAGTGATATACAATTCAAGACACTAGGACATACTGTGGTAGAATAAAACCAGAACAGGTCACTTAGATTCAAACTTCATTTCATCATACTATCTAAACTACCTTAGCTTTTTTTCTGCATATGCATACTAGGAACGATTATCAATAGCCTCCACAGAGTTTTTATGAAAATTTCTTAAGGCAACGTATATAAAATATCTGGAACAGACTAATCATTCACTAAAGTATTATGGTATGCTAATTTGAATGTGTACCCGCTTCATATCACTAGGGCAAAGCCATTAGAGGAAAAAAAAAAAACACACACACAAAATTACCTAAGTGCCATGTACTAATTGCAAGGTATGGAGGCAGAATACTGAAATGGTAGAATCCTGTCAACTCTGCCTGTCAATAAATAAATAAATAAATAGATGGATGGATGGATGGATGGCAATGACAAGGGAGAATGTAGGACAAATAATCAATTAAGCCGGCACTGTGGCGTAGCGGGTTAAAGCCCTGGCCTGAAGTGCCAGCATCCCATGTGGGCGCCGGTTCTAGTCCTGGCTGTTCCTCTTCTGATCCAGCTCTCTGCTATGACCTGGGATAGCAGTGGAGGATGGCCCAAGTGCTTGGGCCCCTGCACCCACATGAGAGACGCAGAAGCTCCTGGATCCTGGCTTCAGATCGGCACAGCTCCAGCCACTGCAGCCATCTGGGGAGTGAACCAGCGGATGGAAGACATCTTTCTCCTGTCTCTACCTCTCTCTGTAACTCTTTCAAATAAATAAAATAAAACTCTTAAAAAATCAATTAAGCTGCAGTAAAACAAAGAAATAAAGTTTATCCCAAATATGAATTAAAAAATGGAAGGGAAAAGAAGCAAAACAAAAACATTTGACCAGTACATTAAAAATCTTAGCTCAAAATTAAAAAGGCTGAGTCCAAATTCTATTTCCAAGACATGATGGAGTATCAGTGACCAGATTTACCCTAGTGCTGTAATCAGAACAGGCAATATAACAAAAAACAATTTCAGACATTAGATAATAGGCACCAACAGGACCTGGACTCCTAAGAGTAGGAAAACCAACAAGGAGAATCCTATGTTCTCTCACGAATTGATACCCAAAGGTACATTCTAGAATCAGGGAAAGGGGGATCCCAAGCACAGCACTGAACTTTTGCAGAGTTGAGGAAACAAAGCTCAGGATAAGACGGCTGAATTGTGGTGAAGAATTATAGAGAAAACAGAGATACACAAAAAGATTACCAGAAAGAGAGAGAGGAATCAGGGCTGGTGCTGCGGTACGGTGGGTAAAGCCACCACCTGCAATGCTGGCATCCTATATGGGCATCATTTTGAGGACCAGCTATTCCCTTTCTGATCCAACTCCCTCTAATGTACCGCAGAAAGTGGCAGAAGACAGCCCAACTGCTTGGGCCCTGCACCCAATGCAGCTTTCTGGGTAGTGAATCAGTGCAGCTCTGCCTGTTGTGTCCAACTGGGGAGTGAACCATCAGATGACAGATCTCTCTCTCTCTCTTTCTCCGTCTCCCTCCCTCCCTCCCTCTCCTCTGTGTAACTCTGACTTTCAAATAAATGATCTTTTAAAAAATATTTTTAACATTATATTCAACTATTGATAAATGAAACGATATGATATGATTTGTAAGATTTACTCTCAAAGCATGTAATACATACATCAAGGTTTGTTACACTATTCTCTCTACCTGCCCATTTGAAAATGCTTACGAGAAAATTTTATTTTAAAATTGAAATATTTTACATGTTTAAGAAATAATCTTAAACACTGTTCTACACAAATACACACAATCATTGTGGTGATCATTCAAGAATCTCAACACCTGAGGCCAGCACTATGGCATGGCGGGTAAAGCCTCTGTCTGAGACACTGACATCCCATACAGGTGCCAGTTCGAGTCCCAGCTGCTCAGTTCAAACCAACTCTCTGCTAATTTGCCTGGGAAAACAACAGAAGAGAGCCCAAGTGCTTGGGTACCAGCACCCACATGGGAGACCAGGAAGAAGCTCCTGGCTCCTGACTTGGGATCAGCCCAACTCTGGCTACTGCAGCCTTAAGGGAGTGAACCAGCGGATGGAAGACCTATCTGAATTAGAAGTCCAATGCGCTATCCATTACACAACAGAGCCACCTTGGAATATCTGTCTCTCTCTGTAACCCTTACAAAATAAATAAATCTTTAACAAAAAAAAAATGAATCTCAACTCTTTCCATGTATCTAATTATACTAATATAATCCAATAGAACTCTTAAATTGCATAAAATACTACCAGTAGGAAAAAGCAATTATAAGGGCCAGAGCTGTGGCACAGTGGTAAAGCCACCATCTGCAGTGCTGCCATCCCACATGGGAAACGGTTAGAGTCCCGGCTGCTCCACTGCTGATCTAGCTCTCTGCTATGGCCTGGAAAGGCAACAGAAGATGCCCTGGGGCTGGCGCTGTGGTGTAAATGGCAAAGCCACCGCCTTCCATGCTGGCATCCTATATGGGTGCCAGTTCAATTCCTGGCTGCTCATCCAATCCAGCTCTCTGCTGTGACCTGAGAAAGCAGTGGAAGATGGCCCAAGAACTTCGGCCCCTGCACCCTTGTGTGAGACCTGGAAGAACCTCCTGGCTTCAGATGGGCACAGCTCCATCTGCTATGATCACCTAAGGAGTGAACCAGCAGATGACTGACTCTCTCTCTCTCTGACTCTGCCTCTCTGTAATTCTTTCCAATAGATAAATAAATATTGGGGAAAAAAAAAAGAAGATGGTCCTTGGGCCAATCCTGCAACCACACGGAAGACCTAGAAGAGGCTCCTGGCTTCAGATAGGCCCAGCTCCAGTGGCTGCAGCCATTTAGGGAGTGAACCATACAGATGGAAGATCTCTGTCTCTTTGAATCTGCCCCCATAACTCCACCTTTCAATAAACAAATAAATATTTTTAAAAAGTAAAAAAGAAATTATAACTAGAATCCTGAGCTTAGTTACAACACTCCTGAAGTACTGAAAAATATTTATGAAAGCCATATCAAAGAAAAGAAATGATTAAGAGAAATAAATTGGTTACCTCTCTCAATTTCTCTCGCTCACGCTCCCTCTCAGCAATACGTTTTCTCCTTTCTTCCTCTTCTTTAAGAGCATTCTGTGTTTCTGTTCTTAGTTTATCATCTTTAAGAATTTTTCGAATTTTTTTTCTGCCTTTTCCAGGAGACTTAGAGTCATCATTTTCATCTTCCTCCTCCTCTTCTTCCTCCTCCTCTTCTTTTTCTTCTTCTTCTTCAGAATTACTCTATGGAATTTAAATGATTAAAGGTAAACAGTAAAAATTTGTTTATCCATTTTACTTTCCACTATTAACATACCAATGAAAGGTGGAAGAAACCCTGTTGAAAAGCTTTAGAATAATATTTAGCAATAAAGTATAGTATGAAGAAACAAACAATCCAATTAAAAATGGACTAGGGAATACACATTTTTCAAAAGAAGATATACAGTGGCAAATGCATGGTGCAGCAGTTAAAACTGTCACTTGGAATATCCACATCCTGAATCAAAGTTCCTGACTACTGTCATAGCTCCTCCACTTCAATCCTGCTTCCTACTAAGGCACACCCTGGAAAACAGCAGGTGACAGCTCAAGGACTTGAGTTCCTCTCAGCAACCTGAGAGACCCAAATGGAGTTCCTAGCTACTAGCTTTGGCTTGGCCTCACCCTGGCTATTGCAGTCATTTGGGGGGTGAACTGGCATATTGGAGAGCTCTCTCTTCTCTGACTTTCAGATAAAATGAAAATAAATATACACATATTTTTAAGAACAAGATATGGCTAAAAAGCACATGAAAGATGATCAAAGTCACTAGTCCTTAGAGAAATTCAAATCAAAACCATGATGAAATACTGCTTCACACTCACTAAAAACAATAAGGAAAGTAACAAGTAATGGTGAGAATATAAAGAAAGTAGACCTTTGATACACTGCTTCTAGGCAAATGGCACTGCTACTATAGAAAAACAATGTGAGAATTATTCAAAAAATTAAACGGAATTACTGTGGGATCCAACAATTCCACTTTTCTGTATATACACAAAAGAAGTAAAAGCAGGGGCTCAAACATGTATCTCTACACTCATGTACACAGCAGTATTATTCAAATTTTTCAGAAGGTGGATTTTAAAGCACTGAGTGCATAAGCAAAGAAATGTGGTATATACATACAATTTTATTCCTTAAAAAGGAATAAAATTCTCAAACATGCTACAACATGGATGAACCTTCAAATCATTATGTCAAAGAAATAAGCCAGACAAAAAGAACAAATGTTGCATGATTCCACTTATAGGAGGTATTAAAAACAGACAAATTCAAAGATACAAATTAACATAGAGGTTGCCAGGGGCTGGAGGGCAGAAAAGAATGGAGAATTAATGTTCAATGTATATAGAATTTCTGCTTGTAAATGTAAATAAGGCCATTGAATCATGTACTTTAAAAAATTTAAAAGTCAAGTTTTTAACAAAATGAACCCTTACACCAAAACAGAATAGAATCAAATACATTACAGACAACACTAACTTTATGTAAACCTGCCTACATACAAGAAACTCAAATAGGCTCTTTTCACTAGGAGAAGAAAATTATTCACATGTAAATTATCATTCAGGATAAATTCTTCCATGTCAGTGTTTTGTTTGGAATACTTCAATTCACTTCTGTAGCCCTTCAAATGTAAAATGAAATCAAATGGCTTAAAAAGTCAATCAGAAATTAAGGTACAGAAAAGTTTTGATAATGTCAAAGTAATACTTCTATATATTTATAGTCAATAAATCCAATCCACCCAGAAGTTTAAAATGTAAATAAATCAGAGTAAAGTGAATAAAACAGAGAGATAACAGCATATTTACTAATCTACTGTACCAGTCCTAACTCAAGCGTACAGTGAATGTCATTATTACCTTGTTTTCAGAAGATGAATCCTCTTGAACCTTAATGCGTCGCCTTTTCTTTTTCTGTTTATAACTCCGCTGATTTTCTTCCAATTCTGCTTTCTTTGCAGACCTGAAGTAAATTGAAAATGCAAAAAAAAAAAAAAACACTTCATGATAAGATTCCTTCAATGAATTATGTACTATTTTGGAAATGCTCTACTTTTGTGCATGTTCTTAAAAACAAAAAGCAAAAAAGGAGAAAAAAAATCACTAGGTTCAAAACGGACACTCCAGCATTGGCCTTATAATTTTAATCCAAGTCTCAATATTTTAAGTTATTCAGAGGGGAGGTTTGCTATATGAGTATATGTCAAAGTAATACTTCTACATATGTATATGGTATATGAGTAAGAAGATAGGAACCAGTATTATAGTGTAATGAGTAAAGCCACTGCGTGCAGTGGCAGCATCCCATATAGACAACAGTTCAAGTCCTTGCTTTCCATGCAGCTCTCTGCTATGGCCTGGGAATGCAGTAGAAGATGGCCCAAGTGCTTGGGCCCCTGCACCCATGTGGAAGACCCTGAAGAAGCTCCTGGCTCCTGACTTTGGATAGGCACAGCTCCAGCTGTCATGGCCAACTAAGGAGTGAACCAGCAAATGGAAGACCTCTCTCTTTCTCTCTCTCTCTCTCTCTCTCTCTCTCCCCCCTCCCTCTCCCTCTCCCTCTCTGCCTCTCCTTCTTTCTGTGTAACACTTTCAAGTAAATAAACCAGCGAATAGAAGACTTCCCTCCCTCTCTCCCTCCCTCCCTCCCTCCCTTCCTTCCAAATAAAGAAACTAATCTTAAAAAAAAAAAGAAAGAAAGAAAATAGATGATGGGACATCAGGAGTATTCGGTTAAGGAGAAATAAAAATGGGCAACATAAAAAATATTCACCATCACTAAAAGAAGCAGATTATAAAAGTTAAATACATTTCTTCAAAGAAGGTTGACAGTGAATTAAAACAAAAATAAAAACATTTTGTGAGAAAAGTATACCTGAGATTAGAAAATGCTATACAAACACACACAGAGCTCAAAAATTAATGTGTTCATCAAAATATGGACAAAGCAGAACTTCTGTGCACTATTTGATAAAAATAGTATAGTACCCACTTTGGGAAACAGTGAGATAGTTTCTCAGAAACAAAATAGAAGTACAACATGATCCACTGTCACTGTTATATATATATATCCAAAGAATTGAAAGCAGAGACTTGAAAAGATTAATGGTACACTCATGTTCCCATTAGCATTATTCACAATAGCCCAAAGAAGCAACGAAGAATCCATCAATCAAAGAATGGATAAACAAAATGTGGCATATGCATACAATGGAATACTATTCAGTCTTAAAAAGGAGGAAAATTCTGACATGGATGAATCCTTAGGACACACCAATGAGTGAAATAAGGTGGTCACACATGACAAATACCACACTTGCATAACTCCACTTCTATGAAGTATATTGATTCATAAAATTCATAGAGATAGAAAGTAGAATGGTAGATGCCAGGGGCTTAGATGAGGGGATAAAGAAGAGTAGTATTTTTAATAAATACAGAGTCTCAGTTTCACAAAATGAAAACCATTCTATACTGGAGACAGGCTGCAAAAGATGTGAATGTACTTAACATTATTCAAAAATACAGATAAGATGGTAAATCTTGGTTTATGTATCATTTGCTACTATTAAAATTAATCATTAAAAAAGGAATGAAGTACTGATATAGGCCACAAAAATGGATGAACCTTAAAAACACTGTTACATAAAATAATTCATTAATAAAATGACACATATTATATGAATTCACTCATATGAAAGGTCCATGTCCAGAACAGACAAATCCATAGAGAAAAAAAGCACATAATGTTTATCATGGAATGAGAACAAGGGAACAGGAAATGACTGCTAATAAACACAGGGCTTCTTTGTGGGGTTCTGAAATTAGACAGTGGAAACAGTTATATAACTCTGCAAATACTCTAAAAAGCACATTATCCTAGACTTGAAAATACGAAATATCATGTTCTGTGAATTATATCTTGGCTAAAACCACTTTTCATTGTATCTCATTATTTCATACAAGGGCAATTCATAAAGTTCATGGCACCATCCCGCACTGCCTTCCAGGGCCACAGCAGAGAGCTGAACTGGAAGAGGAGCAACCAGAACTAGAACCCAGTGCCCTTATGGGATGTCGGAGCAGCAGGTGGAGGATTAACCAAGTGAGCCACGGCGCCGGCCCACAGAAGTCAATAGTGTTTTAACACATGGAAAATATACCCAGTTAGAATACAAAAAGTCAACTATACCTAAAATATGTTTATACCCTTTTTAACAGCCTAAAATCAAAATATGACATACTGTACAAGGGTACTTCAGAAAGTTGTTGGGAAAATGGAATTAAAAGATAAATGTATTTTGGTGGAAAAAAAAAACTGAAATCCAGGTATAGTTGAAATGATTTTTTTTTGAAGGTTTCTTGACCTGAAAGGCAAAGTGAGAGTGAGAGTAAGAGAGAGAGAGCGAGCGAGCGAGCAATCTTCCATCTGCTGGTTCACTCTCCAAATGACTACAATGTGGCTTAATCTAAGTCAAAACCAGGAGTGTGAAATTACATCCAGGTCTCAAATATGAGTGGCAGGGACCCAAGTACTTGGGCCATCTTCAGCTGCCTTTCAAGGCAGATGAGCAGGCCAACTCCAACCCATGAATTTTTGAAGGCCTATTGCATGCATTCCAATTATTTTTGCACCAAAATACTTAAATTTTAATTCAAATTTCCTGTGATCTGATTCTCATACTTAACTTTATTGGTAGCAGTAGCCATTCTACAAATAATTCAATGATAAAATCATTGACATTAATCCCTAAACTGTTTGAAAAAAAAAAAAAAAAACCACAATACTTACCTTGTTCTGGGCCGTTGATCATCTTCAGATTCAGAAACTTCTTCACTAACTCCTGACTCCTGAAAATCAGAATCTTCTGAATCTTCACTGCTCACTTAAACAAAACATATTAAATTATTAAGGATTTTCCAACAATTCACTAAATTTGCCAATAACATCACATTAAAACTTAGAGCATTGTAAGAAAATCAGATTATATCATGAAGAATACACCAGTTCATGAATTAAATGTTAGTGAATTTTGTCAGTTTTTTCCGCAAAAATACATTTATCTTTTAAATCAATTTTCCCAACAATTAAATGTTAGAGGCTGAGTATCTAAAACCAAAGCACTCCAAACTCCAAAAATTTTTCAGTGCCAACATGGTGTGACAAATGCAAAATTCCATTCTTGACCTCATAAGATGGGTCACAGTAAAAACACAGACATGCTAAAAATATTGCATAAAATTACTTTCAGGCTATAGATAAAAGATATATATGAAACACAAATGAATTCTGTGCTGAGACTTGGGTCCCACGCCAAAGATATCTCTTTATGTATATGGAGATATTCCACAATACAAAAAAATATAAAGGGGCTGGCGCTGTGGCGTACCGTGTTAAGCCACCAGCTGCAGTGCCAGTATCCCATATGGATGCTAGTTCGAGCCCTGGCTGCTCTACTTATGATCCAGTTTTCTGCTATGACCTGGGAAAGCAGTAGAAGATGGCCCAAGTCCTTGGGAGCCTGACCGTGTGGTAGACCTTGAAGAAGCTCCTGGCTCTGGCTTCGGATCCATGCAGCTCCGGCCATGGCAGCCAATGGGAAGTGAAACAGTAGATGGCGCGCTCTCTCCCTCTCTGCATTAACTCTGACTTTCAAATAATTAAATACATCTTTTTTAAAAAAAATATGAAATCTGAAACACTTCTGACCTCAAACTGAGCATGTATCTATAAATAAGATTCAAAAATATCCCAATTATAACCATATGGATACATGTTTGGTGTAGTGTTTAAAATGCCTCTTGGGGGGCCGGCATGTAGCACAGGTTAGTCCTCTGCCTGCAACACTAGCATCCCATATGGGTGCTGGTTCCAGTCCCAAATGCAACTCTTCCAATCTAGTTCTCTGCTATGGCCTAGGTAAGCAGTGGAAGATGGCCCAACTGCTTTGGTCCCTGCACCCAGATGGGAGATCCAGAAGCAGCTCCTGGCTCCTGGCTTCAGATAGGCTCAGCTCCATCCTTTGCAGCCATTTGGGGAGTGAACCAGCAGATGGAAGACCTCTCTGCATCACACTCTCACTGTCTGTAACTCTGCCTCTCAAATTAATAAAAATATTTATAAAAAAAATGCCACTTGGGGGAGCAGCCCTGTGGCTTAGCAGGTAAAGCCACTGCCTGCAGTGCTAGCATTTCATATGGGAACCGGGTTTAAGTCCCAGCTGCTCCACTTCCAATACAGTTCTTTGCTATGGTCTGGGAAAGCAGTACAAGATGGACCAATTCCTCGGGCCCCTATACACACAAGGGAGACCCAAAAGAAGCTCCTAGCTCCTGTCTTTGTAGTGGCCCAGCTCCAGCTATTGTGGCCATTTGGAGAGCAAACTAGCAGATGGAAGACCTCTCTCTCTCTGCCTCTGCCTCTCTGTAACTCTGCCTTTCAAATAAATAAATCTTTAAAAAATATGAAACAAATACCCTTGGGATGCTGGCATCCCATATTAGAGTATTTATGTCCCAGCTCCACTTCCAATTCCAACTGCCTGCTAATGTGCACCTGGGAGGCAACAAGTGATGACTCAAGTACTTGGGTTCCTGGAAACCATATGAAAAGGAAACACTATCAACCACATTTGGGGCTGAAGTCTAAACTTCAATAATAGTGCCAGTGTTGTGGCACAGTGGATAAATTCACCACCTATGCTGGAGTACTAGCTTAAGTCCTGGCTGCTCTTTTCCAATCCAGCTTCCTGATAATGTGCCTGGGATGGCAGCTAAAGATGGCCCGAGTGCTTGGGCCCCTGTCACCCATATGGAGATTGAGGTGGATCCTGTATCCTGGCTTCAGCCTGGCCTAGAATTGGCTGTTGAAGCCATTTGGGGAATGAACCAACAAATGGAATATGGTGTTCATTCTCATTCATTCATTCATTCATTCTCTCTCTCTCTCTCCTTCCTGCCCTCCCTCCCTTCCCGTGTGCATGTGTGTGTATCTGTGTGTCTGTCTGCCTTTCAAATAAATGTTTTTTAAAAAAATTTCAATGATGACCCTTCTATAATTAGTATACAAGTTTGGGTCTGTTAGGAAGGGGGGAAGTACACAACTGTGAGTGGCACAACTTATTTTCTTCCTGTTTCATGGTTTTGGCCAGAAAGCCTGCTAAATTAAAAAACTATGCAGAGTATACTGATTAACAAATCTTTAGAAGAATCCCTTATTTCCAGACATAGCAACAGGAAAAGGAGACTCTGCATGTCTCAAGAGTAAGAGAGGAATCCTCAATTTTGTTTTATTGTCATTTCTGTATCATAATTGCCACAATGACAGAAACATAAAACATAAAATTTGTGAAGACCATAATTCTGGTAAAAGAAAACAGCATTAAGATGAACCTCAGCTTATAGTGCCAAAAAGCAAAGCAGTGCTCCAACAGGGATAGGCACATGTTGAACAAACATGGTATCCAACTTCAAGGTGCTCCCAATAGCCTACTCCAGAAGAATCTGAGCAAAAAACTAAATACAATATTGGATCTCTTAAAAAGCTGACCTCATGGAAGGAGAGAGTAGAATACTGGCTACCAGAGGCTAGAGAGAGTTGTGGGGAAGGAGTGGGAAAGGTTGGTTAACACATAAATAGATAGGAGAAATATGTTCTGATAAAATATCACAGAGAGGGGTGACTGTAGTTGAAACTATTTTGTCATATATTTCAATTTAGTTAGATGACAGGATTTTGGATGCCTTTACCACAAATGATAGATGTTTGAGATGATAGATAAGCTAAATATCCTGATTTGATCATCACACAAAATAAGCGTACATCAAAACATCACATAGTAACCCACATATGTACAACTATATGTCAATAAAATAAATAAAAATAAATAAATAAAATAAATACCTATAAGCGCACTTTGATATTAATAATTCAGCAAGTAAATGAGGAAAAAATTATTCTTCCTTATATTACTAAATGTGAAAGTAATTAACAGAAAATCATAATTAGGCAAATACCACAGTAATAACTACATTAGGCAAAACGGTTACTAAAATTGGTGTGCCTGCGTAAGATAAGAAACAGAATATTTTCTTAGTTTAAAAGAATCTTTAACAAAATATTCATTAAATATGATTAGAAAAATATTTTTCTTTATATTGGAAAGTACCTGCAGATACCAACATTACCAATTAACCAAGTAATAAACATACTAACAATATAAACCCTTGTGTACTGACAAAGACATATCAAAATGGATAAGAACTTCAATAATGAGAATACATAAGACACATACAAGGGGCTTCAAAAGTGTATGAAAAATTGGTATCTTTTGATTTCATTTCCCATGAATCTTTCCAAGTTACCTCATAAGTATGAAGGAATAGTTGAAAATCACTGGATCAATATTTTTCAAATGTTTCAAGGTCAGAAATAAAAAGACTGACAAATTATCACAGACTAGTGTTAATTAAGGAGTTATCAAAACTTAATGCAATGTGGGATCTTGAATTGAATATTAAAACAGAAAAAAGGACATTAGTGAGAAAATATTGATTTTTGAATAAGACATATAGTTGACTTTCAGGGGTCATTTTTGACTTATGAATCATATAGTCTCTGTTTGAACTACTCATCTCTACTCAACTTCGTCACTATAAATATGTAAAAACAGAAAGCAAATGTGTGTAGCTATGTCCTAATAAAATTTTATTTACAATAAAAACAAGCCAAGGGTGATATTTGGACTACAAATATATTTTGTCAACCCCTAACTTAAGTCAACAGTATTGTATCCATGTTAATTTTATGGTTTTGATAACTATACGAAGACATATGCAAGGTGAAAGGTATATAGGAATGGCATGCTATTTTTCCAACATTTCAATAAATCTAAAATTACTGAAAAATAAATTTAGAAAGATCTATCATGGCTTGAGGTCAAAACCCAAGTTTTAGTCTAGCTATAAACCATGGGAGAATATAAACATTAAAAAGAACTGGTAAGAATGGAAAGGGGACAAGGATATTGTTTAAAGCATACAGAGCATATATTTGTGATTCTAAAAAAGTTCTAAAAAAGAACAATGGTGATGGTTGTAGAACAATGTGAATATACTTAACGTCAATGAATTAATTGTACAATTAAAAATGTTTAAAATGGCCAATTTTATGTTATATATATTTTATCAAAATGGAAAGCAAAAAAAGAATTATTAAATAGCTGAGAAATCAGGAAAACACCAACAACACATGTTGATATGTATGCCGATATGGACATACTAACAAAGCTTGTGGTTAAGTATAATTCTAAGCCTAGCATTACCTTTTTCATCCAACATATCATTTTGGCCTGAGAAAGCAGTGGAGGATGGCCCAAGTGCTTGGGCCCCTGTACCCACGTGGTATTACACTGTACCATGAAAACTCAAGGAATCTGACATCATCCTACTTTCCCCTTTCTTGTGTTCAATCTCCTAAATGACTCAAGTGAACCTTGCTCTTCAACAATCCCACTTGGCATCATATTAACAGAGGTGGGGAACATCTGGCCCATGAGCCATATAAGCCCGTAAAATCATTTTGTCTGGCTCTGCCAAGGCGATTGCAGGCAGGATTCAAACTTCAATTTATCTACAGCATACTAGTTTTTAAGTTGATGGTTTTTATGGCCCACGAAAGATTAGCCTTTGGAAGAAAACAAAAGGTTCCCTATACCTGATTATACTAATATCCTAGACATAGATTCAACTTCTTCAGTCTTACTGAGAAACAATCAACTAATCTGACCATGTAATGTAATGTATTTGAGTAAAACAGATCAATAAGGAAAAATACTTAAGTGTATTTATTTATTAAATCATATTTACTTCTCTTTTTTTAAAGATTTATTTATATATTTCAAAGTCAGAGATACAAAGAGAGAGAAGCAGAGGCAGAGAGAGAGAGAGACAGAGGGAGGGAGGGAGGGAGAGCCCTCAATCTGCTGGTTCACTCCCCAATTGGCCATAAAAGCTGGAGCTGCACCAATCAGAAGCCAGGAGCTTCCTCTGGTTCTCCCAGGTGGGTGCAGGGACCCAAGGACTTGGACCATCTTCTACTACTTTCCCAGGCCACTGCAGAGAGCTGCATCGGAAGTGGAGCAGCCGGGTCTCAAACCAGCACACATACGGGATGCTGGCACTGCAGGTGGTGGCAAAACCAATTTTGCCACAGCACTGACCCCTTACTTCTATTTATAACCTAAATGAACATAATTACAATAGGTTTAAAATATTCTTGGAGTCATTTGACATTTCTGGGTTATCTTCCCACTCTTCTGAGAACAGTTGTTGCCAGCGTACAGTTATACACTGAATTTATGTGGCCAATGATTTGTGAAGATAAACTTAAAAATTTCTTTACTATAATTAGCTTATAAAACTAAGATTTTCTTTACAATCTGAGTTAAAATATCTTACCTTTCCTTCTATTTCTGCTTTTGGCTTCTTTATGTTCTTTAGGCTTTGTCTTTTTTTCTTCTCCAGATTCACCATCACTCACAGACAGTTTATGCCTCAAAAGTCTATGTCTGTACCTTGGCTTCTTAGATTCTTCAGAATCTGAATCTGATTCATAATTGACTTGATTTTTTGCTACCAAAGAAAGAAGGAAATCAATAAAACATTCAACCACTTTCCCTTTAAAATGTTCTATATAACGACTCTGTTGACAATTATTATAATTTATGGAGATGTACATGTGACTTGGTACCACTAGCCAGAACTGGTAATCTCACCTGTAAGATCTGATATATTATTATTAAATAATAAGCAAACATTCACTTATATGTACTGATAGAATTTGTAAAGGTATAAAATAGGCTGCATAAAATATTGATTAAAAATTTTTAAAAATTTTATCAGTAACTGACAAAACTAACTTCCACAATTATTACAAGATACTCAAAAGGAGTAGTGATAGTGATGTTCTAAATATTTTAATAAACTTTAAATGCATATATTAAGAGATTTCTTGATCAGAGAGCCTTCAAAGATGGAACTGGTCAAGGAATTAAAAATACTTCTGCCGGCGCCGCAGCTCACTAGGCTAATCCTCCGCCTTGCGGCGCCAGCACACCGGGTTCTAGTCCCGGTCGGGGCGCCGGATTCTGTCCCGGTTGCCCCTCTTCCAGGCCAGCTCTCTGCTGTGGCCAGGGAGTGCAGTGGAGGATGGCTCAAGTACTTGGGCTCTGCACCCCATGGGAGACCAGGGTAAGTACCTGGCTCCTGCCATCAGATCAGCACGATGCGCCGGCTGCAGCACACCGGCCGGCTGCAGCACACCGGCCGTGGCGGCCATTGGAGGGTGAACCAACGGCAAAGGAAGACCTTTCTCTCTGTCTCTCTCTCTCACTGTCCGCTCTGCCTGTCAAAAAAAAAATACTTCTGATTGAGAAGCTCACCCTCCTCATCTCCTGGATTTTCTTCATTTTGTTTTCCAGTTCTCTTTTTCCCTTCTTGTGGTTCATCATCTGAAGATCCCTCCTCATCAGAAGAAAGATTGGCTTTAATTTCTTCTAAAAGCATCTTCTTGGCAATTCTTTAGAGTAAAAACAATTTAAAAAACACTATATATGAGGGTAAAGTATATGAAATTAAAAACATAAAAATTTGTTTTAAAATATAAATACATGTGCCAACACATTGTATATTATAAAAAAAACTAGCAAAACCTATGCAACCAATAAAAATTTTAAAAATGTTCTTAGCACTGATTATTTCTGAGTTCTATACAATTCTGTCATATATTAAAAAGTCTCAGGGCCATACTTTATTGTCCATTTAGACCAAATGCAATCTGATTCTGGATATCTTCCAAGCCTATATTTGTTCTGCTGCCATCACCCAACAACTAAAACGTCAGGCCAACAATGAATCAACTTATTCAGACAAATGGCATTTCAAGGCAAAACTCAACATGAGCAGTTTCAATTCAAGAGCAAAACCTATTCTTAGAAAACAAGGGTGTAATAAACCACTATATTATAAACACTGCTTCCAATTGCAAGATATCATTTTTGAACCCTAATTTTAATTTACTTCATAAATTCTGCTAGCCAGATGAAAGTACACGCCAAATATAAAGTTTTGAAGCAATCAAAATTTCTGATGATACTCAAGTAAGGGCAGAGAAAATAGGAAATATGGTGCCATTAATCACATATATGGTAAAAGAACACAAATTAGCATAAGTGACTTTCCACTTTCAGAAAAAAATAGTGCAATAACATCACTCACAGTAAAATTTCTCAAGATGCTTCTCAAAGACCAATTTGCTAATGGAATTAATTGCTAAAAGCACAAGAAAATACTTGTTTTATTAATACCACCATACATTAAAACAAAATAAACAGCTGAGGGCAGGCATTTGGCCTAGTAGTTAAGATGTCTGGTTAGAATACCCACATACCACACTAGAGTGCCTGGGATTGAGTCTAGGCTGTGTTCCCAATATCAGTATCCTGTTAATTTGTACCCTGGGAGGCAGCAAGTCATGGCTCAAGTAGTTGGTCCCCGACTCTCATGTGGGAGACCTGAATTGGGTTCTCGACTTTCTGCTTCAGCCAGGGGTCCCAACTCCAGCCACTGCAGGCATCTGTGGAATTAGCCAGTGGATGAGGACTCCCTTTCCCTCTGTTTATCTGTCTCCCTGCCTTGCCACTCAAATAAAATTTTAATGGAAAAAAAAATATTCCTAGAAAATGTCAATGTTTACACAACAGAAAGGTACCTGAAAATTTAAGATAAAAGCAATCGAGAAGCACTTTGTGCAAGACAAGGTGTTAGGAGTAAGTCACAGTAACAAAGAAACACCTATAGAAAGGTTCAAAAAGAAAGTGATCTGAATCTGACAGTTTGCTCTGACCTAACAAAGAGAAACATCAATTGGCAAAGAAGTACAGATGAGTTTGCTTTTCTAACAGTCTCCTGCCCAAGTTTACATTTCAATAAAGCAGAGATAAGATCACCCCAATGAAATCTTACTGGAAATGACCTACAAAGCTTTGCTCTTAAGACTTCTAAATCAGTGGTCTGCTCATTTATAATGCACATAGCAAATGTCTTTAAAAATGGGCACTAACACAGTGATTCAACTATTCCATTTTGTCAAGAAAAAAATTAAATCCAAATGTGATCTGCTTTCATCAACTTAGAACATACATTTCCGGGCCGGCACTGTGGCTCACTTGGTTAATCCTCCGCCTGCGGCACCGGCATCACATATGGACACCGGGTTCTATTCCCGGTTGCTCCTCTTCCAGTCCAGCTCTCTGCTGTGGCCCAGAAGGGCAGTGCAGGATGGCCCAAGTGCTTGGGCCCCTGCACCTGCATGGGAGACCAGGAAGAAGCACCTGGCTCCTGGCTTCAGAACGACGAAGTGCCGGCCGTAGCAGCCATTTGGAGAGTGAACCAACGGAAGGAAGACCTTTCTCCCTTCTTCCCTCCCTCCCTCCCTTCCTCCCTCCCTCTCTCTATAACTCTACTTGTCAAAAAAAAAAAAAAATTTCCAACATACTCTCCCCAAACTAGGAAACAGTTTCAGAATATGTAAAATACATGAAACACTGGATACTAGATTAGTAATGAAAAAATAATTCACACAAAGTTACAATCTTATATCAACATTTGCATGGGATAAGAGTTAATAACAAATATACTATCTGGCACCAGCGTTCTGGCACAGTGGGTTAAGCCACTGCCTGCCACACAGGTATCCCATGTGGGCACCACTCAAATTCCAGGCTGCTCCACTTCCAATCCAGTTCCCTGCTAATGTGCCTGGGAAAGCATGAAAGATTTCCCAAGTGCTTGGGCCCCTGCCACACATATATATAAAACCCTCTATATAACTCTATCTTTCAAAAGCAAATATTTTTTAAAAATACAATTCCTAATCAAGTTATTCTAAAGGTTAGTTCAAGACCCTGATTTTAGTTTGGGCTTATAAGGTCAAAAAAGTCATAAAATTCAATAATAGCTCTAAAGAATTCATTGCTAATTTTAAGAAACCAGATATTTCCTCTCCTTTTAAGCTCTAAACTTCTAATAATGTGCCTACTTTATGAAAGGTAAAAATATGTAAATCTACATTCTCCAATTCTGGATTATCAAGAAACTACAAAATACGCACATGACACCATAACATGATTGTACATCAACTAATAAATGAGATAATGAATCATGGAAAATTAAATCAGATCTAAATACTGAAGAACTGCAATTTATCAAGAACCTTCAGTATGATAATACATAGAATAATTATAGTCATTTTGGAAGAAACTTACAAACTTCAAAGGATGGATGGTCATTTTCTGCCATGTCACAAGTTAGATACACAGTAATGGAGACCCTCCCTAAGTTTTACGTAGCTTCTTTATATTTACCCTCTTAAAAAATCCTAAAAACTTTAGACCAAAAGAAAATAGCCATGTAAACTAAGTACTAAAAAGAGTACGTAAATAAAAGTTGAATAATTTTGCATGAAGTATGTCTAATATAGCTCAAGTCCAATATGCCAAAGACACACCATACCATAAACTTAGCCTCTAATATAACCTACATCTCAAAATTAGAACTTAATTTTAAGGATCTACGGCTGAGGCAGAACTTCAACCTCAGTAGTCAGCAAGCATGTTGAAGTGAGATGTGTCCCATCTACAAAGCCTGCTGGGAGATGCTTTAAAGGGAAACTCCACTACCTTAACTCTGGAGTCACGGGCCACAGAGACTTCAAGGACATCATCACTTGAGAACCAGCTGAGGCTGGCAAAGGATCATTTTGGAGGCCTTGGCTGGACCCATGCTGGTATGCATGTGATGGATGTATAGTCATGATCCCTAGTTGATTGTTTGCTCTGATGTTTCCTTTCTTGAGGCTTTCCAAGACGTTTCTGGGAAAATCATTCAGGTAACAAGGTACTGCCCCTGGATCTCAATGCTCAATATTACATCCTGGGACAGGTGTAGAATCCAAAGCAGTCACGACTCTATCAGAAGCGTAAGAGACACAGGCTGTGCCACCCTTGTGGCAGAAAACCTGGGCAGAGCTGGAAGTAATGGAGTCATTTCTCCATTTTCCTGAAAGGGAGGGAAGGGAGAGGGGGAGAAAGCAAAACAATATGGGAGGGAGAGTAAAAACCTACAAACAAACAATGATTGGAACTGGTGCATGAAGAAATAATTGGACTCCCAAATCCACACAAAGTAAGTTGTCTAAATTACATAATGAACATCAAGATAATGCCTTATTTCACCTTCATCTACTACATCAAAGCAAAAATAAAATAAATGAGCCCAATACTGTAATAAAAACAAACAAGCAATCAGAAAAAAAAAGTGACAGCCTTTAGTAATTATGATTCTATCCAGAAAGGAAATGAGTAACATCTCACGTGTAGTGCTCAAAGAAGAAAGAAAAGTAAACCATGCTTTGCTAGTAAGTAAATAAGTAATTAAAAATGTTGCATTCCTTAAAAAGGAGTGTTCAAAAGAAGGATTTCTTAAACCACAGAGCATTTAGAGAAGCAGTCATAACAAAAGCAAGACAAAATGTTAGAGCTAGAAGAAACAGCCTTGGAATCCAACTATTGCATTATATAGATGAGGAAACAGGCTTAGAGAGGGCAAATGACTTAGCCAAAGAAATAAGGCTAGTTAGTGGCAAAGGCAAAGTAGAATCTAAGATCCAAAATCCCAATCTGGTAATAATTTTTCTATGCCAGTGTTATACTCGCTACTCACTATTACTCAGTGAAAACGAGTATCTGAACAAATAAATTATAGGCACATTCTTAAAGATGTATGTATTTCACTAAATTCAAATTTATATATTTACAAAGGAAAAAAGTTACAAGCTTGTTAAAAGTTAAAAAAAATTCTCAACATCTTTCAGTAAGCTGCATCTCTAAAAATGCACTGACAGGCTACCTGATTTAAGATACATGCTACAACTACAATTTATCTTTTAAGAAGTTCTAAAAACAGATATGTAGAAAACCGTTAATAAAAATTACATTTTTAGAACAAAATACTGTACATCCATACACAAAGGTGACAAATTTAAAAATTGCTTGTATATATTTTACACATAATATCACAAGAAAATACTCAAGTTAACAAAATTCTGAATAAGATCTTAAGTTTAAATACATGCTATTTAGAGATACAAAGCAACCATATGCAGGAGTAAAACATCACATCCATATTTCAAAGATTGATATGTAAAACAATTCAAAGTACAGCCAAGGAATTTTAAATATTTTAAATGAAAATAGAGTGGTGAATACATATCCTTCTAGTAGAGTGTGAGGCTTTGTTTTATTCTTATGGATTAAGAATAAGAAAATTATAAAATGATGAAGCTCTTCAAAATTTTCTTTAGTATATATTTAAAATCATAGGTCCAAATGAGTATCTTGATATGAAGCTTTCTATTCAAAAATCTATCCTGAAAAATGTTGGAATTCATAAAATAATAAATCAAAAAGCTAGATAATAGTTTGATGTTTAGTCAGGTGTCACACAATGTCTACAGTTAGT